ACCATACCAACTTTAGCCCAGTCATCCACGCCAGAAACTCAGGCATGTCCTCGCTTCTTATCTCTTCTTTGTCAGGCTTACCTAGCTGGTCACCAAAGTCCTCATCATTTTTAGCTTGAACTATCCTCATAGTATCCAACCTGTTTTTTAACATTCTAATCTGTCCTTTAGTTTGTTCCTAAGTAGCAGTAGTTTTAAAAGTATCTTTTGTAAACACAACTCTAAAGTTGTTACTTTTCTACTTGAAACCACTAGGTGACTTTGTTTGCTTTACAATGTAAAGTTCATAAAAGGCTCTTCATGACCTAACTGTTCTTTCTTCCCCAGACTCTCCTGTTTTTCCCCTCAGCACACATACTCTGGTTTTGTTGACCTGGCTTACCTGATGCCTCACTCCTCTGGATGTTGGCATTTGCCATGCATGTGCTCCTCACATGCTTATCTTGACCTTTCAGCAGCAGTGGACGCCTTTGTACACTCCCTCCATTTTGAAACACCTTTGCTTGACTTCTATGACATCATTCTTTTTGGACTCATCTCTTACCACTTTGGTATTTCCCTCAATGTTTTTTTTGCTGCACACTCCTCTATTTAGCCTTTGCATTTCTTGGGGTTTAATTTTGTTTTTCCTCTTAAATGTAAATTTAGTTCTGGTCTATATAGCAGTTGTTTGCTTTGTTATAAGGATGTTTTACAGTTAGCAAGAGAGTTAGATAAATTAAATACAGTATTTTTTTGTTGTAGCTATTTGATCACCATAGTAAAGTATATTTATCTACAGTTTTAGCCAGTAAGAACCAGTATAATATGCTAAAAACACTAGTTTTCACCACAATGGAAGCTGGCCTCCCTGTATGCTCTCTTTATTTGAGGGAGTCATATCCTCCAGTATTCTGCTCTCTTATTCTGCTCTCGTTTTGCAATTGTATACAATGATTAGATTTTAGCAATCCCCAAAAGGGCGATCCTTGCAGTTTATCAAATACATTAGACCTGTCTGCATACTTTACTAAATTAGGTGGAATGAGTTGGTAGAAATTAGGGCAAAGTTTGATTCTTCATTTAGAAGAATCTTCTGTGAAATAAATTGGAATTGGTTCATTATAGATGAAGTCCTCGTTGGGAATTATTCTCAATCAACTAAGGCCAGAAATATTTTCAAAGGGAAGAATTCGTGAGTAATCAGATGCTATCTTAAACTTTTCAGTGATGAAAGGTATGCCAGGTGCTCATTGGAATCCTCCACCTGAATAGCTGGCTTTTCCTGCTATTTCTTGACATTTCATTTACAATACTCAAGAGATACAATCATTGGTAGTCATAAAGGCGGGAGTCTTATTGGAATGCTATGTCAGTATTAAAGAAGTGGTAGATGAAGAAATAATAACAACCTTGCCAGAAATGAATCAAAACTGTCATAAAGAAGAAAATTTAACCTTTAACACAGTTAATTTTTCAAGTGAGATTAAAATAATACTATAATAGGTTTTTACATTAATTGAATATAATCAAGATATTTTCATTTGCAGCTTCTCTCTAATCTGTGTGTAGAAAGAAATTAGGAACTGTTCCTTTAATAAAACCCTGTTTACCTACCCTCCTTTAGTGGGAGTGGCTTAGGAACCTGTAGAGTGAGGTACAACTTCCAATTCTTCATTCTGACCTGCTGCTTAGAAAGAGTGCTGATATTACAAACCAGGAAGTGACAAATGCTGTACTTTAGGCTACACTAGAATCTGTCTTATATAAGGAAAAACATCTTATAACAAAATTAGGAAATTGAAGCAGTGATTTTGCATAGTTGTCATTAAATATTTGAAGCTCTGCTGAGGATAAAGACTTTGCAGCATGCTTAGAATACAAAGCTTTCTGGGCCAGAAATTGATCCGCTGACTTTTGAGCCTTATCTGATTACCACTTGGTTCATTTTTATTGCTGTTAAACTACCTTGTAGGCTGAAGCGGGGAGACTACTTGGTTTGCAGGTAGGTGGTCAGTCTTTGTTTAAAATTTATGTTGGTTTTTTAAGATTACTTAGGTATATTGGTTATGCTGCTGATTATTGAAAAAATTAATATCAAGCTGGCATATTTTAGTGTTTGAATGTTCTCCATAGTTGTAAATAACCACATTTTAATGACAACTTTGTAGGAAAAATCATTTTAACAGATTAGCAAATCTACATTGTGGTGAATTAAATAAGTTTTGTTTTGTTTCTCCTTAACCTGTTATATTTATGTATCTACCTACCTACCTATTAATTAGTAGATCAAAGAGTATATGAAATTATCATATTATTATCATAATATTATTCATAATATTTGCTAAAATTTTTCAAACATGTATTTATGTAGTCAAATAAAATTGCATTTTTGTTGTTAGTATTTTATTAGGAGTTTCATTTCTTTCACTGTTAGTAAGCTGTGTATTTGTCATTGGCTTATTTGTTTGCTTTAGCCTGTCTTTGGAAATGTCTGTTATTTTTATGAAAGGTTAATCGTTTTTTTTTTGGTACCGGGGTTGGAACTCGAGTCTTTGATCTTGAGAGGCAGGTGGCAGAACCACTGAGCTAGATCCCCGGGCCTGAAAGGTTAATCTTACACAAGTATATTTAAATATGTGATTGCTTCTCTTTATAAAACTAATCTTTCTTTTATGACCCTAAAAATAGCTCAAACATAACTTTCTCTACCATTAATGATCCTTTTTATTTTTCTTCTCTAGAAATTGTGCTTCAAAGATATTTCTCACCAAGAAAGTGGTTATTTAAGTAGTAAATAGTAAAACTTTACTGTGTTTTAGACATAATTATTTCCAATAAGAGTTGATCAGTCTGAGATATCCACTGTAGGTTAGTATAACTCAGCTCAAAATAAAGAGGTTTGCTGTTTTCATTGGCCTGAATAGCTTTACCAGAAGTAACTATTTGCATATTTTTGATATGAAGTTTTATTCACTGCTCCTGTAGTATCCTAGTAATTCCAGCATGGCAGATTGGGAACTAGCAGTCTAAAGTGCAGAAATATTTTCCTGAATCTCTTTGAGGTTCTAGGAAAGGTAATGATGGTCATCAGGTTTAACATGACAAAGATATCATAGCTGATGGACAGGAAAGAAAAGGAGAGGGAGAAAAGGAAATGGTACTTATTGTAGGGAATGTCATGGAGGAATTCATAGCACGTATAAATTTTGGTCCCATTAAGTTTGTATTTATCTTAACAATTTCCCAGTTTTAAAATTTTTGCTCCAATTAGGCTGATAAACTTATTCACTGACTTCAAACCAAATACTATTATGTTCATGTATTTATTGTATATTTTTAATGTTGATTTCCTCTCCTCATCATTTCTCATATCTCCTTGCTTCATATCTTTCCTTCAGTTTAACTAAAAAACCTTCTCCAGTGTGGAGCCTTATCTGATCATCCTGAGCCCCAGTGATATTTCCTTTTTTTGGACTTTCATATTGTGTTAATTCTACCAGCACTTTAGTACATAATCATATCTTGTCATATTTATCTTAAGAGTGTTCCATGTCTCTTCCTTTGTATTAGAAGTTGTTTGAGGGTCAAGAGCTTAATTTCTACATCATTTTTACGCCCCTTACCATCCAATGCAGCCATACACATTTGGTAGGTACTCAGTAAGTAGCTGTAATATGAGTGAAGGAAATAATCTTGTTGACAACTGCTTCTAGTGTAATGAGGCTTCCCTCTAATTTGCTTAATTAGATACTTAACTATAACACTAAAAATCAGACTGTTGGTTATCATGATATTATTGTTTTTATTTTGCTGTGTAATGTATGAGTTTGTTATATTTGGTGATTTAAACACTGATTGAATAGGAAAAGGTCCAAAGGGGTAGGGGTGATGGGAGGAGATGGGTAAAGGAAAGAATGGAAAGGAAAAATTATGAGAAAAGAAGAAAAAATGGAAACGAAGTATGTAAATAGGGAAGTGTGGAGGGGGTGAAGGGCACACAGGTGATGGGGAAAAAATAAGAACCAAGATACATCATGTACAGGTACAAGCACCCAATAATAAATGTAAACGTATTGTATACTTAAAATGTACCAATAAAAGAATTTAAGCAAAAAATCCAAAACAAAACACTGATTGATACACTACCTATAAAAAAGAACAAGCACATTAAAAAAAAGAAACCAAAGAAAATATTTTAACCTCTAACCTCTTGCATTTTATGTTCCAGGAAAATATAATTTAAAGTGTACAGGTATATAAAGTTCTAGAAACTTCAAAAATTCAGATATATTATGGATGAAAATGCTGGGTTCTGAGATGATATTTAGGACTTTGAACAGTCATAGGAAGCTGGTTTGATTATCATATCAGTACTTGCCAGAAACTATGAATAAATTATTTTATACAAAGAAAATGTTAAACATTTTGACTTCCTATTTACCGTAGTTTTTTTATTGCATACTTAAAAGTCATCATTTGTAGGTGAGGTGGTACCACACCTGTAGTTTCAGCTACTCTGGAAGCCGAGGCAGGAGAATCATTTGAGCCCAGGAGTTTAAGACCAGCCCAGGCAATAAATCAAGATCCTATTTCAAAACATTTTATGTATTTCTTGTATCAATTCTGTCAAATAGATTTTATTAACTCATTCTTATAGATAATAGATACAGAAAATAGTGGTATAGAAAGGTTAAAAAACATACATTCAGTAGCTGTGTTACAGATCTCTTTGATGTCAATGTTTGTGTTTTAAATCACTGTTATATCCCCTCTCTCTTTCTTGTTTGTTTTTGGTCCCCCCCCCTTTTTGAGGTACTAGAGATTAGGCTACAATCTCAACCCTTATTCTAAATTTTATTTTGAAACAGGGTCTGGCTAAGTTGCCCAGGCTGACTTTAAACTTATGAACCTCCTACCTCAGCCTCTAAGTATTTAAATTACAGGTTTGTGCCAATATATAAAAGGTATCCTATCTTTTATATTTTTAAATACTCATTGTGATGTTTCTGTCATTTTAGAGTCTGACCAGACAGGAGTTCTGGCAACTGCTCCAGCAGAACTATGGCACTGAGCTAGGTTTAAATGCAGAAGAGATGGCAAACTTGTCACCATCAGTTGAGGATAATGTGCAGCCAAGGTACAGCAAATGTTTTGAAATGTTAAGACTTAATAACCACTGGAGTGGAATTATTTTAGATTCTGCTAATTCTGAATTTATATTAATTTATCCTTGAATGCCCTTTGCCTCTTTTTTCTGTGGTGGAATGAGGTGAAAGATGGGAATATGGAATAGTTTGCTAAATAGGTAAACAAACACTGGACATATAAGGAAATGTTAAGTATATAATCATGTCACATAGGATCTACTTAATGCTTAGTTTTAGTAAGCCTTTTTATTAAGGATCTGGGGAAGTACATGGTAAAAATTCTGGGCTATGGATGACAGTAAAATAAGTTAAAGCCTGATTTGGCAGTGCAAATTTATAATCCCAGCTTTCTAGGAGGCTGAGACAGGAGGGTTGCAATTTTGAACCAAGCTTGGACAACCTAGCAACTTGGCAAGACCTTGTCTAAAAAAAAGTTTAGGGATGTAGCTCAGTGTGAAGGCCTTGGGCACAGGAAAAAAAAAGTTAATACTCTTAAGTGAAATAAATAGGACACAGATGTGTAAATACCGAATAGTTTCTCTGGTGTGAGAAACTGAAAGTGTAAATAAGGACTAAATGTATAATAGGTAATGTGAAATAGGAAGAAAAGGGGCAAAGGGGAAGGAAGTGGGAGGGCTAGGGGAAAGGATAGAAGGGAATGGGATTAATATGAGAAAATGGAAAAATAGGAACAAAATTTTTGTAAATAGGGCTGGAAGGGTTGAAGGGAGGGCTGGGCAAGGGTGAAAAACAAGAACCAAGAGAGATTATGTAAAGGTGCAAATTTCCAATGATGAATGTCATTATATTGTATACCTAAAATGTACCAATGATTAGAATGAATAATCGATAATGTAAAATAGGAATGAAAGGTCCAAAGGGGTAGGGGTAGTGGGAGGCACAGGGGAAAGGAAAGAAGGGAAAGGAAAAAATGATGAGAAATGGAAAAAATGGAAATAAAGTCTTTGTAAATAGGGAAGGGTGGAGGGCGTGAAGGGAGGGCTAGGAATGGGGAAAAAATAAGAACCAAGATGCATTATATAAAGGTAGAATTCCCAATGAGAAATGTAATTGTGTTGTATACCTACAATGTACCAATAAAAGAATTTAATACAAAAAAAAAAAAAAGTTAATGAGGGGTTGGGGATTTAGCTCAGTGGTGCCACCACCTGCCTCACAAGCACAAGGTCCTGAGCTCAATCCCCAGTATCAAAAAAAAAGTTAATTAGATGGTAGGTGTTTTGAGAGATATAATTGATCAGCACTTTGTAAGTATTAAATACATTAATGAAAAGAGCTTATAGTATTGTGGGAATGCAAATGATTAAGATAATACAGGATAATAGCCATAAAAGAATAATAAGTAGTGTGATAAAGAAATTAAGAAAAAGCATTTTTGACAGGTTTATTTAGAAGAGTGGACATTTTTATTAACCAGTACAAGTAAAAGTACATTTTGTCCAATGGAAATTGAGACCCTAGCAATAAAAATAACTGGTATAATACATTAAAATTCTTTAGCAAACATTATGCTAAGTTGAAGAGGCTAGTTACAAAAGACCATATACAGTGTTGTATAATTCCTCAAATATGAAATTGAGTCCAAAATCCACAGAGAAAGTGAATTCCAGTTTCCAGGAGCTGAGAGGGAGGGTGGGAGAATGGGAATGACTGATAATAGGTCTGGCTTTCTTTTTGGGTGGTGAAAATATTCTAAAATTAGGTATAGTGATGACTGTACAACTCTGTAAGCAACTGGATAGTAACTTTGAGTGAATTATATAGGGTTTGAATCATATCTTAATAAAGTTGTTACTTAAAAATCTATAGCAAATAAACCTTACCAAGGAAATATTTTGAAAGTCTCAAGGTATGTACAAAAATTTACTCATTTAGATAGTTTCCTAGTTATAGCAATCCTATTTATATTGCTTCAGCTTAACATTAATATTTTATACTCTTTTTCACATGGTTGCACATGCATATTTTATAAGTTTTCTGCAAAGTTAAAAATTTCCATTGTAAAGTTTACTGGTCTTTCTTTGGTACTGGAGCTTGGTAGGAAAGAAATTTTTCTAATGTAAAGAACCTTTACATTAAATTGTGGTAAATAAGATCTATATTCTAGTCTGGCCCATCAAGTAGCTGAACAACTTCAGGAAAATCTTTTAACCTTTTTGATCCTCAGTTTACTCATCATGAGATGAGGCAGTTAAATCAGCTAACCTTCAAGGTCCTTGCTAACAGGAAAAGTTTCTAGTCTTTTTTTGTTTTGTTTCGTTTTTTTGTTTTTGTTTTTTGGGTACCGGGGATTGAACTCGGGTCCTTGTACTTGCGCAGCAGGCGATGAAACCGCTGAGCTAAATCCCCGGCCCAAAGTTTCTAGTCTTTAAAGAAGGGAAAGATAAGTATTTTCAACCAGGTGCTTCATTTGCAAGGTCATAGGATCAGCTTTCTGAAGTTACTAGCCAAGCTTTATTTTCTTCTTTTGGTGATTGAGTACTTTCTAAGAAAATATGTAGCAGGATCTTCATTGCCTGTTCTATTACTTTTCCCATTCTTCTAGTCTCTGAAAGAAATATATCTGTTTCAAACCTTTATTTCATTTGGTCTTCTGTATGTCCCCCTTCACGTCCAGTCTCTCCTTCCCCCTCCTGCCTCTTATATGGTCTCTGTATTTTTTCGTACCTTACTTCCATCCTTTAAAATCCTAAAGTACAGATACTTGGCTGGTGGACTATTCTCAAGGATGCATTTGTCTTATCTGGCTCCCTCACAGCCCCACCATTCTGCCTAGATAGGAGTGACTTGATAGGAGACCTAAATATTATTTGAGCAGACTAAAATGGGGTTGAAATAGCCTTTGGCTTTTTTATTCCTTTCTCAAGATAATATTGCATAAGATTTGAGGCTGCTACTTTATTTGAAGAGAGTTTCAACTATATATAACAAGAATTATTTGGGAATAATAATTGCCTGATAAGGTTGAGCACTGAAATTAGATCAGTTACACTCCTTTCGTATTCAGAAGCTCTTCTTTCTTTCTGTTGCCTGAGAAAGAAAAAGCAGATACTAGGACATTTATTATACTCCTGGCCCTATCATCATTTGGAAGCTGTTGCTTATACCATCTTCTTCAGTTGGAAAGAATCTAGTGGGAGCCTGGCTGATTGATGGGCTCTTTGCTCAGACAACAGGAGCCTCTACTTCAGGAGGGATTCACCATCTCAGCTGGTCCTTGAGTTGGAAGGAAGGAGCTGTAAAGCTGCCTTCTGGGACCGGGGCTGCAGCTCTGTGGTAGAACACTTGCCTCACATTTATGAGGCCCTGAGTTTAATCCTCATCACTGCAAAAACAAATGAATAAACAAACAAGCCAAAAAAAACCGAAAAAAAAAAAAACCTGGCTTCTGGTCCTGACTGGTGTCCAACTCAGTCTCCTTGAACCTTTCAAAGCTTCATGGTTTTCCACAACTAAAATTTAAACAAGCAATATCCATTTGATTGGCTGCTGTTGTGGCCACTTTTACTTTGTTAATTTCCTAATGGTTTCTGAAATTTATAGACTCTCATATGTGAGTATCTGATTTATTTTCAGGAGTGAAGTTGATTTGCATGCGACTTAAGAAGAGACCTTTGTTATAAGTAGAGGCTTATCTGTTATATTACAGTAAACTGTTGTCAAAATGATTTGTAACAGAAGAGGACCTCAGTGAGGGACCAAATCTCTTCCTTGCATAGGGGAACTTATATCTCTGTAATGCTGTGTTTCTTTTTCCTTTTTTTTTTTTTTTTGGGTACCGGGGATCGAACTCGGGTCCTTGCGCTTGCACAGCAGGCGGTGGAACCACT